ATATTTATTTAACCTTTTTAAATCAGGTTCAAAACGTGTGAGATCGTAAGATTGCAGGGAACTGTTTTCACAAGCATAAATTCTCAACTTTGTATTTATTTTAATTTATTACAAAATAGAAAAATCAGCTTCACTGAATCATGAATGAACCTAGTAAAACGAATGTGGACCTGATGTTAGTCTAAGTTTAAGATAAAGTTGATGTTTAAACCTTTTTAGGAGGAACAACAAACATGTTTTCCCCAGAGGAAATATTTTTGTCTTCTATTAACTAATTGACAAGTGACCCAGGTTAAGAATTTATAAAATTTTGTCAATTTGGATAGAAGATGTTAAGATTTAGCTCAGATTAAAAGTTAGTTATTTGATTTTACAGCAAATAAGAAGAGCTATCAAAATGCATTGACTGTTGAGACTGCTTTGTGAAGCATTTGTGATGCCTTTCTAGAGGTAAAGTTTGACATTCTTACCCATGTTGGAGATATCACTGGGTCTCAGTCAGAGTGACATCTTCAGATGAGAACTCCTGTTGGCTGGAGTCTTCACTGAGTCAAGAACTGTCCAGGAGGTCATGACTTCAGAGCAGGGAGCAGACAAACGCTGCCTTCCGTCACAAACTCATCAGACCCAGCTGGGTCTGCAGATAAAATTCAATACTGCAGTTTAAAGGTTAAAAGCTAGTTTTCCCAGAAGGTTCTCTCATCACATCTGAAACGTCCTGATGCTTCAAGAAGCAAAGCTGAACTGTTTCTCTTCTGTCTCTTCCAGCATTGCAGCAAATGGTGTTAAGAGTCAAAATAGTATTTCAGGGTCACTGCTGCAGGCTGAAAATATTTTCTTGGGAGAAAATATTTAGATTCTCCTCGACATGGTAGCATTGAACATGGGGGGTGGGGGGGGTAGTTAACAGTTTAATATTGTATGGTAAAATGACATTTCAGACCAATATCCATTATCCCGGTATCACAAATACAACTTGGACCAATACATTTTAAGAAGAAAAATCGCATAACAGAAAAGTTATAATTTTTTTAATCTTTATATATAAATCACAAAAGATTAAAACAGAATGTCGTGTCAGCTTGATCTGTATGAAAAGGACAGATTAATGAAAAGCTAGGCCAGAGTTAGCTTTTTCAGAACATAGTTCAGTTCAAGAGAAATCCTGACCTATAGGGTCAAGAGGTCATGTTGGAACAGGGGTCCTTCATGCTACATTCACTCAGTGAGAATTAATCTAGATTTGTCTTAGAAGTTTTATTACAAAAGTAAACAATAAAATTAATAGAATACTGAATTATAAAAGTCTGAAAAATTCAACAACAACCAGAATTTTTGAAAATAATAAAGGCATTGATGAGCCATTACTTACATTTAGATGTTGATACAATGTCTGGAAGATGTATAACTTTAAATACATTTTTAAATRGACTACTGCCCCGCAACCTTTTTCATCCCTTCCAAGTTTGCTGTTATGAATAACATATATTTCATGTATAATAAACTACACCACAAAATATTTTTGTTATTAAAATATTTTATTCCAACAGTGTCATGTATATTACGTATTACAGACCTATAAGATAATGCACTCCTGGACTAGACAACAAAGAAATCTAGTCTTCTGTAAATTAACAGGCAGCATATGTCAAAAAGTACTTTTTAATTAATTAAATGTGAAATGCATCTAAAATACTTCAATATGTATGAGGACATATAAATGAAAATGTGATAAACAGTATAACTATATCTGCAGACATAAATAAAGGTGTAATAGACTTATGAGAAACTTTCTGGGCTCTAAAGTGGTGGAAGGATGCTGTTTAGTCTCCAAAAACAAACGTCCAACAAGTGAGTCTGAAATATTATGCCTAATAATTGCTAATTCTGCATTCCTTTAATAAATTAGTCCAATYCAGCTGAACACAAATATCCATATACATTTAGGAAAAAAAWTTTTTTTCGTCAGTGGTATTTACTATTACATTTTCACCAGATACATCCAAACCAAAATATATTTAAAATTATTTAGAGTCCCCCACCATAAAAAAAAAAGAAATCTGTGTAATATACCTGATAAATGATTTAACATGGTGGCAACGTACCAGACTAACTGGAAGAAAGTGTCACAATCAATGTGCAAAATATGGAATAAGAAAAAATAATCGGAACAGCTCTGGACATAACTACTTGAAAATGTGTTTTTATTCGTGTCGGCCAGTAAAAGCATTCATGCATAATTAAATATCAACATTGTAACTGAATACTGGACATTCATAAGAAATTGGAAAACTTGCTGTATTGGGTTGTAAAGGCCCAAAATGACAGAGCAGAGCTGCAAACTTKGTTAAAACACAAAACATTCATATTCAACACAGTGATGGCAGCGCGTTTTATACAGAAGTACACGAGAGCGCAGATAGACGATGTCCAATCCAATAATATATATAAACAGGTGGGAATGCTTCAGGCAGGTCAGACTGGGAGGACACACTGCAGAGGTGGTCTCTCAACTGGCCTGGGATCGCCTTGGAATCCTCCTGAAAGAGCAGGAAGAGGTGGCTGTGGAAAAAAATGTTAAGCTGCTTCCCCTTCAACAAGCAGACGGAGGTTTTCTGAAGCAAATTTAGAGTTTTTAGGACACAAAGAGATTGTTGCCCATTTMCAGCCTGTTTAATTAAGACTTGCTTCAGTAAACATAATCCTGTTCCAACATTTTTTACGTGCTGCTGTCTAATTTAAAATGATCTAGGTTTCAAAATGGCACAATCTTAATTTAAACATCTTATGTTTACTATGTATTATTGTGAATTTTTTTTTGTGAGCTTATGGGATTTAATTTTTATTTACATTTTACACAATTTCCTAACTTAACTTGGGCTTGTATTAGAACTCCTCCTACTCAAAATGACAAAATGAACTGAGCATGCATGTGACACAGCATTTTTCACCATTCAGTTTATTTTCCTGCCTTGTTCAGTGGCGTTTGGTACCTCCAATTCAAACAGTGTTCTTACATATTTAAAACCAAAATAGCTTAAAAAAAAATAAAATAAAAAAATGTACTTCAGCTTAACGCACAACCTGACTGTGCAAAATACAGATAACAATCCCCAACAAAGAAAAACATCATTTTTGATGGAAAGCTGGTGAGAAACATTTACATGATCAGCCACACATCCAACAAACTGCTCCCCAGAAAACATTTCATCATGTCCTTTGCAATAAAATATTTTTTTCTTTAGCCTAAGTGGTTGTCACATACGACACTTTAACTGCAGGCAACCTCTAAGGCATCATGTGATTTAAAAACAGACATTTTCAGACCAGATAAAATATATACTCAAATTAAAATAACACAAGCTACAATACCAAGTTAACTACTGGATAAAAAAATACATAAGCATCAACATGCAAAAACAATATTGACTTCAAATAAAGAGAGAATCCACAGCTCTTTGTGTATGAATGGTGATTTTGAAAATGGAAGTCAGAGACAAATTCACTGATTTAGAGGAAGGAAGGGGAAATCCTATTCACACAGTCCATCACATTTCAAACATTCTTGTTGATTTAGTGGAATCTGCTTGCATGTTTCGCTGAAAAACCTTAAGTTTGTTTTCACATTTGGGTGTGTTCCTCTGAAACCTGCAAGCACAAAAGAAACAGAAACCGTGCTCATCCGCCWCCATTTTCAGCAGACAGTAGCCATCCTGGTCTGTGGTGAAGCATTAAGTTTGGGCTCAGCAGGATGGAAACGATGGAGCTGTGCTCTGCAGGAGATACACAAAGGTCAAACACGACAGTGCAACATGCGGCACACAGTAGGATGCAGGTCTGAGTGTTTGTGTGTGTGTTTAAAAGCAGGTGTGTTGCAGTGTAGGGTGGGGTAAGGTCTCCTCAGGATGTGCCCTGTCTCTTCTGTTGCTGCACCCGGATCAGCTCCAGCTGTTTTTTGCACTTCTGGTAGTATGTGGACAGACTTTTGTTCTCCTCCAGCAGTTTTTTGTGCTCCTGCACGAGACGCGACGTGTTCTGCTGGTCTTTCTCATCCTGGTCCAGTTCTGCAATCAGCTCCTTCCTGCACACCAAGAAAACAAACAAGAACTAGAAAAAGATGTTCCTTCAAAAATCAAGTGTGTATGAAATGCAATATGCATTTGCCTAAAGTAATTTATTAACAGAGTTACACATAAGCAGTGCCAGGTGCGCATGCGCGGTCGAAAAGGAAAAAGCGCACCAGATGGAACGTCATAAAGCTCCCTTGCGTACCTAAGATTGTACCTGGTTGTCTGTCAAAACAACAGCTAGCAGGGCTCTAGAGTGCGACCAGTTTGGTTGCAAATGCGACTTGATTTCTTAAATAAATAAATAAATTTTTCCAGCCACACTGTGGAGTGGCTGGATCGTTGTTCGGGGCTCAAAGCCTGACAGTAGGACCCTGATATAAGGATTAAACAGACACTGCCTTCAACAAATCAGACGAAGTCCAGAGCCATTTTATCCAATCAGAGCCGAGCAGGGCGTGACTTTCAGTGAGAGCAAGTTAGTTTGAAGCTGCTGCAGTCGGCTGCAGTGATCAGTCCTGACATCTCTTCCTGCACTTTGGTCCTGAACTACCAGAAACTTTGGTCTGTAAAACCTAACTTTAGCTATATTMAATATGTGTTCAGAATGTTGTTATTGAACAGATCTGTCCAGCTGATAGGAGTCGTAAAACAGAACAGGGGGACGTTAGATGACCTGACGCCCCTCTAAATAAATGTGTTAAATGAGTGAAGGAAAATATGAGCACCAAGCAACAACCCTAGGTTCTCCCTTGAGAACCAGACCAAAGATTTTATGTGCAACCCTGGTTATTAATTTTCTAATTTATTTAAAGAGCCCATTTAAAGGGGACCTATTATGCAAAATTCACTTTTAAAGGTTTTTTTTACTCAACTTTGGGTATGTACTTCTTAAAAAAACAGTAGAACAAAAAAAAAAAATGCACCCAGGGGCATTTTTACTGTAAGTAAATATATTTTTCATGTATATTAACGACAAGTTTTATACTTCCGTCATTTTGTGATGTCACAAGCCGTACGACAACCCACCGGAACCTGCGTTCAGCCCCTTATCTAGCAACCCCCCGGGTGAGGCTCCGCGCAGCTCATTTCACAACAAACCTCCAACAGGGCAATGGGTAGAGTGTTGGACCAGAGAGTGGGAGACCAGGGTTTGAGACCAGCATGGACACAATTTAATTATTTACTTATTTTCGTTCGTTATGAACACGTTTTCTCATGTACCTCTATTGTTTAGCTTATTAAAGCCTTGTTAAAGCCTATTTGTTCWYGTTTCTGAGGTATTTTGACCGCTGCTGTTCCCTGCTCTGGTAACAGCATGCAGAGTGAGCGCAGAGCAGAGGAGGGAGAGGAAAAAAAAATAAGCTGCGAACGACTCTGCCTCTGGGTCTCACAGGGTCTCATACGGTTGAACAACGGAGCTTCTGCTATTATTAGCCATGCTAACGTAAACGCTGGCTTTGGAGGGCGGAGTTAATGTCAACAGATTTTTGGAGGGCGTTACCAACAGAGCTCATTAACATAAACAGCTCTTCTGAACAGAAGTCAGAGCAGGCAGAACTAGAAAATGGGAAATTTTATTAKCTGAGAATTATTTTGTGCATTAAATWGAATGAACATGGTCTGGATAGACCACAGACATACCATAAAAATTTCTATGACCCACAATTGGTCTCCTTTAAACAACCATTTGTGGCTACACATAAAATATCAAACAGGAAAATGAAAATCTGAACACAAGCCTATTACAATAAAACAAAACATTTAAATTATGCAAAATTGTCAAGGGTCCTGCCTTTAGAACTTACACTTTTCACAGGAGGCAATACTGGACCAAATCTAAGCAGCTGAAATTTTCCCAATTAATCTTTATGAAGCTCAAATAAAACTTCATAATTCAAAACCATAAATGGTTTTAAAAACAAAAATCATTACGAGCACGACCTAAATGACCAATTGTTGCTTTTTCTGTTAATTAGCTGATCATTTGCATTCTAAAACCCAAGGACATACTGTAATCAATGTTTCCAGGCTAATAATAAAATATTCCTGTAACAAAATGAATTTTTGAAAAATCAAATCAAAACAATCTGAGGAATGAGTGTTTTAATATTTTAGCAGCAGGTGGTAAAGATGTGTGCCTCTCTTTTTTGTAACAAACTCAGGATATGATGTCGGTCACTGAATGACATCTCAGCAGCAAAAGGTGCTGGGAAAACATCTGAAGAAGAACTTTTGTGACTTTTTACAATTGTTAAGATTTTGTTTCGAATCAATGTTAAAGTCTCCATTTTTGACTTTAAACGGAAACCACGAGTCAGAAGATCTGATCTGTATCAAAGTAGAGACTGTGAATGTGGAAGTGAATATCCCCAACTGCAGGGATAGGTCACTATGTGATCTGTAGCATAGCTTACAAGCCACTATTAGTCCATCACTGTTGATAAAAATTCCAACTGCTGCTGCACTTACTTCCTCTGGTTCAGCAGGGCGATCTCTGTTTGTACTTTCAGGTACTCTTGGGCCATCTTGCAGTGCTGCTCAAACACAGCCATGGACTCTTTGGAGTTTGGACAGGGAGCCAGAGGCTGAAACATAAGCATAATCAGCTGGAACGTCAGTCTTTGCCAGACTATGTCAAGCATTTAAATAAAGGTTTCAATAGTAAAATAGTAAGCTGCAGGAGAATGAAGCTGCAGCTTGTCTAAAATTTTGTAGACATAACAGACATAATACCTGCAGTTGGTGATCCAAGGTGAGATAAGCCATGGGAATAGAGTTATCTGAGCTGTTAGTGTCTGTGAAAACAGAGGACATAAATAAATGAGTAGATCTTGGGTCTAAAGTCAGTGTCTCACTAGGCTGCAATTGTTGATAGGTTTCCTACACATTGTCCATTGTTTAATTCCAAATTTTTCCACTCAAACACTGTAAACCACATGTGTCAAACACAAGGCCCACAGGCCAAATGTGGCCTGTGGGTGACTCCCCTGTGGCC